TATATAAATATAATGGAAATGGTTTTTATCAGCTTCCATGTGCAAGCTTGTGTTAACAGGTGAATTAGTCACATTCATGTCGCAGATCTAGTGTCAATAAGCCAATGTGTTAGCGAGCAGGATCCCACACAGCACCTGGGGCTTGATCTCGATCGATGGAGAACTTTAGACCTCTGATCTGAGTCAGAAAGGCAGCGCTGTGTGCCATAATGAGGCATGAACGGCCCAGTGTTAACGCCTCGGCTGGGCTTGGGTTTCCTAGCAACAGCTGGAGCCCAGTAGTGTGCAAACAGCCCTCTCTCTATCAGGAGGGAATTGGGACGCTTCCCACAGCACTTTGATCCAGCTCGATTGACTGTTTAGAAAGTTCACTTGTGATAGACTTCAGCTGCACACCATCGCACACAAGACGACAAGTGTGCGGAGCAAAGGTCTGACACAACGAGAGACAAAATCGCAGGCAAACACGCCCAAAGCGATGCATCGGCGTTAAACAGAGCGTCTGTTGTCTTGCGTTTATGAAAGAGAGTTTCAAATCTAATCTAAATACGGGAAGGAACATAGAAGTCATTCAATACAGCCAAGTTAAATGATTATAGCAAGTAAGGTGAATGAGGTAATGATTAAATTCAACTCCACGCCTTTGTTTTGCTTGTGCATTTTTATCCGCCACAAACTAGTTGACACATTTCCTTGTTTCTTTAAGATGGTAAAAGAGATTTGATTCTGCGTCTTGCTGTTCGAAGGCAAGATTTATAACATTTCGACTAAAATATCAGGTTTCTTTAACTAAAATATTTGATGTTTATAGATTTACTCTGACAATTTTCACACCAAATGCACTCTAACGGGCTCTTCACACTTTAAAAAGTCATTTTTGATCATAACTTTGGATTATCATTTTTCACATCGTTTATACTTTGCCCTAAATGATTCATCTGAGGTAGCTGAGATTTCACATTGCGTTTGTAATTCACATTCTTATCTGCATACTTACAAGGTTAATTAACATTAAGTTAATGAACAAAACATGCTGTGGTTGTCTTAATTCTTTTAAGACGTGCTAAAAATAATGGATTTTAACATATTGTGGAAGTTTATCACAGCACAATACATGAATGTTTAATGAGGCTAGTTTGTGGTTGCCTGAATCAGCACTGCATTTTTTCCACACACTACACCTTTGGTGGCATAATTTGTGGGCTTTATAACCCAGGGTTAGCTCAATATTTTGGCAGGTTTTATGAAGATACATTTAAGACCTTTTTGAGACCAGGTAAAGAAAACACAAGGAATAAATTCAAGGGAACACAATAAGTTAATATGAACGCAATAAGTCAAAAATGTTCTCCAGTGCAAGATTCTTAAAACAAGATACATTTATTTGAGACGCACGATGGCATGAGATAAGACGCCTTGTTTTCTGAAAAAAAAAAACCTGTTTAAAATAGACACTTTATAATCTCAATTAAATGTTTCTTGATTTAAGGACAAAAATAATGAGGAAGATACTGATTTTTTGCAGTGCATGCAGTATTTGATGCGATAACTTCATGAACTTAAGACTTTCTGCTCTGATTTTAAGGCGTTAATTGATGGAAGGGCAAATAAAGTCTTTCTAAGACCTGCGAAAACCCTGTAACTGTAGTGTGAAAAGGCCTAAATATTATATATACTACTGGTCAAAAGTTTGGAGTGTGTAAGATATTTTTTATGTTTCTATTTTTTTAGCTATATCGCCCAGCCCTAATTTATAACATTATACATTTCTTTAATGTCACTTTATAATTTTAATACATCCTTGCATTAAAGTATTTCTTTCTTTCCAAAGAATCGTACTGACCCCAAACTGTTGAATGCTACTGCTTATCAGTGCCCTAAAATTATTATATTATTATATTAGGATGTTTGTCTAGAATCATGACAAAACTGAGCTTTATACCATCAACAACCATCTATCCTGAAATCTAACATCCAGCAAAAAGAAAAATAGATTGCAAATATAAGACAAATACTCACTTGCTGAATATAGTTCTTCCACAGAAGCAATCCAAACTGCTGCCACACGGCCATTTTCAGATTCACAGCACTTCACGACCTGGACGAAAAGAAAGCAAACGTCAGGTCACGACACGACTCTTTAGAGAAACATGAGAGAAACTTATCAGAGCTACTCCAGGAATTTCACATCGATTCTCAGCGTTTCGCAACTCCGTCCCGAGACGACCGAGAGCAACTATAAGACTCATGCTTCCCATAAGAAACAAGAAGTTCAAACATTTATTTCACTTCTGATTGCACAATGTGATCAGACTACTGAAAGTAACCTAGTTAAAGTGATAGTTCACCTAAAAATCAAAAATTCGGCCATCATTTACTAACCCTCAAGTTGCTATAAAACTGTATTTTTAGTTTCTTTCTTCTGTTGAACACAAAACAAGGTATTTTGAAGAAGTTGACGGTAGCCACTGACTTCCACAGTATGGAAAAAATACTATGGAAGTCAATGGCTACCGTCAACTTTTTGGTTACCAACATTCTTCAAAATACCTTCTTTTGTGTTCAACAGAAGAAAGGCACAAGTGGAGGGGGAGAAATGATGACAGGTTTTTCTTTTTTTGGGTGACAAATCCCTTTAAAGGGGTCATAGGATGCCCATTTTCCACAAGTTGATATGATTCTTTAGGGTCTTAATGAAAAGTCTGTAACATAGTTTGGTTAAAATTTCTCAATGGTAGTGTAAAAAACACCTTTTTTACCCTGTCAAAAACAGCTCTATATGACCCCTTTAAGCTATTTATCTAAATGAGAATGACTACAATGTCATTTCCAACTAGGTCTGCAAAACGATTAGTCACGATTAATCGATTCGAAATAAAAGTTTATGTTTACATACTATATGTGTGGGTGCTGTGTAAATTTATTATGTATATATAAATACACCCACATACATGTATATATTAAGGAAAAATATGTTAGATTTGTATGTAAAATATTTAGATTTATATATAATATAAATTAAGTGTTTACATACAAATACATACAAATATTTTTTAATATATACATGTATGTGTGTGTATTTATATACACAGTACACACACATATATTATGTAAACAAACTTTTATTTTGAATCGATTAATCGTGACTAATCGTTTTGCAGACCTATTTCCAAAACTTAAACGATGCCAAAAAGGCCAATTTAACCAACATTAAAGGTGAACGTGTCATCTCTCATCACAATATTCAGATTAAAATATTAGTAGTCTGTTAATATAAGTTATTATTATGAATTATGAGCTTTCCTCATATAATGATCACAAAATAATACATCTAAAGTGTCCCAATTCACCTGCTTTGTCCCTAAATAAACTGCTTCTTTGTATTTAAATGTGTCACCGGTCTGTGATGATTAATATGTAGTTCACCTGTCATCTTTGCAACACATGTCAATAATGTATGTCACTATTAAACATACGGCAGGGTTCATATTACTGACAGTCTGTCTGGTGAGTTTATGCCATTATTCTGCATTGTCTGTTTTTATTTACGTCGCGTTTGCATTCGCTTCCTTTGAAATTAAAACATTGTTTTCTATCAAACGTGCCTTGCGTTGCTTTTGTCCGTCTAATGGATCAGTTTCCTTTCGCTTGAACGTTGCAATGGTCTTGTGATTGAATCAAGAACTTGATTACTAACCCAAATCCGATACATAAACACAATAGACGACGCGCAGCTCACCTTTCACTCGTCTTTCTGTCCCGCACAGGGCTCCAACAGCGGCTCTTTCAGGCGGAAAGCATTGAATAAATGTTCGCGATCAGCTCGACCCCGCCGCGGATGAGTTCCGTCGGGAAATATCGCTCATAAGGGCGATGATAATGAGGAAGAAGAAGAAGATGATAATAATGACATGCGGTGCGGTCCATAGACTGTATAAAAAGCGGACACAACAAACGCGGTCACGTGATCTCCTCCAGCTGGGCGGCAGCTCGCGGTCACGTGGCCGGCGTGACAGATGTCAGTACGTCACCTGCGCGTAACGCTTACAAATGAAACAGAAAAATACCGAACACAAAAAGGCGTTATCTGCAGTTATTTTCAAGTCTTTAATGACTTGCCATTCTCAAACTTATTTATAGTTTGAAAGTATTTAATACCTTCCTTTTTATTTGATGTATTATTATTTTTAATTTATCATCGTTTATTATTATCTGTTACTGTCTACATATTGTCTTTTGAGCATTAAAAAAAAATAATAATAACAGAAAAAAACAAACGTCATGTTTTTATTTGTGGATTGACTATATAGTTATTTCCATAAATAAATATGGTTATTTTATGCATTTCTTTTATATTATTTATATATATTTCAGCTGTTATATTATATATATATATTATTTATTTTAATAGTTATTTTCCATTTCTTTTTAACTCCCTGGCTGCATTGTTGTAATATTGTTTGAAGCATTATATATATATACAGTGGGTACGGAAAGTATTCAGACCCCCTTAAATTTTTCACTCTTTGTTATATTGCAGCCATTTGCTAAAATCATTTAAGTTAATTTTTTTTCCTCATTAATGTACACACAGCACCCCATATTGACAGAAAAACACAGAATTGTTGACATCTTTGCAGATTTATTAAAAAAGAAAAACTGAAAAATGCTCAGTATTTAGTAGAAGCACCCATTTGATCTATTTTTTTTTTTTCCTCACCTCAGTCGTGGTATTGAGGGTGGGGTGAGACCCCCCAACTGCTCTCCTGGCACAGCAGCATTGGCTGCCCACTGTGTGTTTTTTCACTGCTGTGTGTGTGCACATATATATATATATATATATATATATATATAAGCAAACCATGCATCATATTATCAAATTAAAAAACGACACTGAAGACTGGAGTACTGATGCTGAAAATTCAGTTTCGCATTAGAGGAATAAATTACATTTTTAAAATATATAAAAATAGAAAAGTTATTTTAAATTGTAATATTTCACAATATTACTGTTTTACTGTAGTTTTCTTACATTCTTCTAGTTTAAATATTACATTTTTCATTCGTTTAACATGTTAGTTTAATACAAACATTTATTTGCAAATTATATTATTAGCAAAACAATTTGAGTGAAAAGTTGAATTGAAATTTTGCATGAATTTCAGATTGCCTTAGTGTTTATTTATTTTTTTATTTTTTTGCTTTAATGGCAAAAATGACAAGGGTCTCATACAAAGAGTCACGTGATTAGTGTCACAGATTTGCTTATTCAATTTGGAAATAGTGCATAATATTTCATATTTACTTTCCGTTTGACCTCACAGTGTTTATTTGTTGTAAGTGCAGTGCACACAGTCACAATCAATAATAGCTTTGTTATTACTGTATTGGGTGTGTTGCTAGGTTTGTCCAGTGACTGTCTGTGTGTGTGAAGCATGCAGCGGTGTTCAGAGCAGATGGTGTGCAGTACTCGTCTCACAGTTCACTGGACACTGGCATTTTAAATTGTAATATTTCACAATATTACTGTTTTACTGTAGTTTTCTTACATTCTTCTAGTTTAAATATTACATTTTTCATTCGTTTAACATGTTAGTTTAATACAAACATTTATTTGCAAATTATATTATTAGCAAAACAATTTGAGTGAAAAGTTGAATTGAAATTTTGCATGAATTTCAGATTGCCTTAGTGTTTATTTATTTATTTTATTTTTTGCTTTAATGGCAAAAATGACAAGGGTCTCATACAAAGAGTCACATGATTAGTGTCACATATTTGCTTATTCAATTTGGAAATAGTGCATAATATTTCATATTTACTTTCCGTTTGACCTCACAGTGTTTATTTGTTGTAAGTGCAGTGCACACAGTCACAATCAATAATAGCTTTGTTATTACTGTATTGGGTGTGTTGCTAGGTTTGTCCAGTGACTGTCTGTGTGTGTGAAGCATGCAGCGGTGTTCAGAGCAGATGGTGTGCAGTACTCGTCTCACAGTTCACTGGACACTGGCATTTTATGTATTTGCATTGTACCTTTACCAGCTGAATTTTTTAAACCATGCAAAAAATATACCCATTTTATCAGTAAGGATTTGAATAACGCATTTGCATGTTCCAATATTATATTTTTTTACTTTAAAACATAACTCAATCACGTAATCAACACATAATCAAGTTTTTTTTTAATATTGTCTTTACTAGTTCACATTTAACCATGCAAATTTTGTATCCCATTATTTATGCAAATATTCAGGTGCAACAGACCCCAAAAAATACCTTGTTTATTGTTTGTTAAATGTGACCTACAACTCAGTAATTGTTGACGATCATTAATCTTTTAATGAAACCACAGTTTAACAACGGTTTGACCAGCAACATGTTCACGAGGTCACCAAACCACAGTGACAAAGTGTGATCTTTAGCGATACTAAATCAAAATGGTGTAAAATATGCAGTGATAGACATGAAATGGATGCAAACAACAAGTTCCCATCAGTATGCAAGAGAAACACTGCGGGCATGCAAATGTAACTACTGCATTGTTTTATTGTGGTGTTCAGAATATAACAAACACGTCTGTTTTCAAGTTCACATGGTCTTTCACAGCTTCATACATTTATATAGTTACACTTATACACAAGAATTCATTATTTACAGTTGCAATCCTTAGTGATGTTTAACATACAGTACCAACAAGACCTGCACAAAAATAATAACTTAATGCTTTTAGTGTCATAACCTCAAACAGATGAACACGGTTGAACACTCACAAATATATATGTACGGTTGATTGTTCAAGCATATATAAAGGTAAAACATCGAGACTTGTTACGAAGCATCATTTCGATTTTCAGCATTGGGTCATAAAAAGTGCTCGGAATCTCTCGAGGTCATTACGAAAAAGCATGTCAAACGATCACATTCATCGGCTGTTGCATTGGATCTGTCGTAAAAGTATGTGAGAAATTCATACAGCTTTACTGTACGTTTACAGTTTTCTATGCAAGCTCATTTCCACCACAGGATAAAAAAAAAAAAAAAATGGGCAATTGCAACTTTTTATGCCACTATTCTGACTATTCTTTTTTCTCAGAATTGAGAGATACAAGTATGCAATTGCGAGTTATTAAGTAGAGAACTGCGAGATATAAACTCGGAATTCTGACTTTTCCTCGTAATTGCGAATTTATATCTTTTTCGTACAATTGCAAGTTTATAGCAATTCTGACTTTTTTTTCTCCACACAATTGTGAGGTTACGTCATGCTATTCTGACTTCTTTTCTTGGGAAAAAAAAAAAAAAGTCTGAATTGCGAGATAAAAATTCGTAATTGTGAGGGGGAAAAAAAAAAGTCAGAATTCCGTGTTTTTTTGCCTCACAATTGCGAATTTAGATTTAGGGAGTTTATAGCTCATAACTATTGCAATTGCGAGTTTACATTGCACTATTCTGACTTCTTTTCTCAGAACTGAGAGATATAAACTTGCAATTGTGAGTTTTAAATTTTCCGAATATCTCTCACAATTCTGCCTTCTCACAATTGCAAGTTTACATCGTGCAGTTCGAAACTTAAACTTGTTCTTAATATAAACTCACAATTTTGTCTCATAACTCACATCTCATAACGTTTAAAATATTTCAATTCTGAGAAAAAGTCAGAACTGCGAGATGAAAACAGGTCAGAATTGTGAGAAATAATGTTGCAGTTTTTTTACTCTGTGTCGGAAACAAGCTTCCATAGGTTTCACAGGTCAAAACATCAGTGGTATCAAGCAGAAAAACAGTATTAAAATAGTTAAGTGAACTTTGGCAGAAGATTTGTGGCGAACGCAAAGCAATGCGCAAATATAAAAACACTGGAGTTGTTCAGTCCAGTTCCAGATAAATAATCAAAATACGCGACGAGAAACATCCATGTAAACGAACCAGTTTTGTTCAGACAGTGCACTTGTCAGCATGAAACTTCATGGACTGAGTGGGTTTTCTCCGTAGCTGCAAGTAACTTCGTAAAAAACATATCTGATAAACTTTCAGTCCTTTTATGTAAACAGTATGCTTTTTAAATTTGAAGACGTAACAATGTACACAAGACTTCAGAAACAGTGACAGTTCCAGTGATTTTAACACATTTGAGGCATTAATCCGTTGCTTGTCAACAGCAACAGTCGGGCGAAGGCGCTCCCGCCATCGGGAGCCGAAGTGAAATGCATTATGGGAAGGAAAAAACATGACCTTTGTTCTTCTAATAAAACAGGTCAGAATTGTGAGAAATAATGTTGCAGTTTTTTTACTCTGTGTCGGAAACAAGCTTCCATAGGTTTCACAGGTCAAAACATCAGTGGTATCAAGCAGAAAAACAGTATTAAAATAGTTAAGTGAACTTTGGCAGAAGATTTGAGGCGAACGCAAAGCAATGCGCAAATATAAAAACACTGGAGTTGTTCAGTCCAGTTCCAGATAAATAATCAAAATACGCGACGAGAAACATCCATGTAAACGAACCAGTTTTGTTCAGACAGTGCACTTGTCAGCATGAAACTTCATGGACTGAGTGGGTTTTCTCCGTAGCTGCAAGTAACTTCGTAAAAAACATATCTGATAAACTTTCAGTCCTTTTATGTAAACAGTATGCTTTTTAAATTTGAAGACGTAACAATGTACACAAGACTTCAGAAACAGTGACAGTTCCAGTGATTTTAACACATTTGAGGCATTAATCCCGTTGCTTGTCAACAGCAACAGTCGGGCGAAGGCGCTCCCGCCATCGGGAGCCGAAGTGAAATGCATTATGGGAAGGAAAAAACATGACCTTTGTTCTTCTAATCATATTTAAAGCTCAGAAATGGACATTTCAGCCGCTTTATCTCACTCTTGCTGCTCTGAGATAAAGACCATCAGCACCCGTGAACCAAAGTGATCCTGGCGGGCAGCCAGGAAGTGATGCGTTAAGGGA